CTTCATCTAAGGCTGAGCAGAGGGAACAGGTCCTTGACACCAATATCCCAAGAACTTTAGTTGGTGTTCATAGCCAGATGTTGGTCTGTCCTTTGTCGGATGATGCTCGACTGAGGATGCTCAACGTTTTGATGTTGCTCGCTGACACAAAGTAGATTTGAATCAAAGAAAATAGTAAGCTCTTGATGAAGCCGGTTTGAATTTTGCTTAATATGTGGATGTCGGTATAAAGTATACATGTGATGATTGGTATCACAGTGGGAATGGTCTAGCCAGTATCTGAAAATAAAAGAGTAGTTTTTTCAAAAACAAGCATCAGAAACAACAAGTTTACAAGTTAGTATATTCACCTTTTCTACGAACTAATTTGAGCTTGTAATTACAAGAAATTGGTTATTTTGTTCAAACAAGTAGTGAATAAAAAGATAAGACTTTGCGCTTGGCATGCTGTTATGGTGGTTTACTGTGACAGGATTGGGGCTCTGTAATTTTGTGATGTGGACGCGGTATATATTTGATATTTCCCAGTAAACTCCTTTACAAATGAAATGAAATGAGCTATGTCAGGTACCTTTAGAATGATTTGCTTGCAACTTGGTTGATATTTTTCCATTCTTGTATAAGTTCATGTATACATGTAAGAAATTTTGCACAACTGAAATGGTTTGTTTGTCTAGGAATTGGATGCATGATATTCCGTCTTTTTTTTTTTTTGCTTGGGAAGTGAACTATCTCTTCCACTACACGTGTCTCTCTCGAAAAGATTAGATTACTCACGTTCTATGGGGTGTCACACAAAGATTAGATTAGGTTGCTTTTGTTAAACACCGCCGTACCACGCTTCGATGCTGGTATGATGCTACGTTGGCGTCTTCACAAGTGCACCGTACGTACGTGGCAAAGCTGCTGACCTATCCCACGTACAAGAAGCGCCGCCATATATATGCATGGAGCAGTCCGGCAGCGCTCGGCCTCCAAGAGCCGAGAGCAACTCAGGCCCATAATACAGGCCTCATCGGGAAAGGCCGTCTCGCTGGAGGCCCATGAAACAAAAAGCACTACTTAACTATAAAATCCTAGCACATATCCTCCAACAATTTCATATTTAACATCTTCAGTGCAAATCAGAAGCATGTTTATGTTTCTTGTGATTTTAATTAGTGTAACTACACGCATATACATAAATAGTAAAAAGTCACCTTAGTTTATGCAATCTATAATACTTCATGCACACAATTAATAAGTATGACATGGGAACTCATGGGACTTACATGTACACCATGGAGTAGCAATCACTAAGCTGTTTTGATGGAATTGCATAAGGACAGGTATTTTTCCCAAACATCTCGGCAAACATGTGAAAGGCACACCTACAGTAGGAATGTTTCAACATCTACACCTATGGGCAGCAAGTCGTGTAACAAGAAATCAGAGAGAGTCAAGTCATAGTGAAATACAAGACATAAGCAAGAAGATAAATTGGATCACTTTATATCAAATCAAGGCCTAGAAATGTGCAGAGATATTCAATGGTGGACATTGTGAAGACCATACTTATTTTTTCTCTACATTTACAAAATGAATAATCTGATCTTGTTAGTTAGTTTTCAAGCATATCCTAGTTAGATCACTCTTTTAAGGATTTACAAACATCAATATTACATCACTTTCAATTTTCTTGGAAACGTTCTGAAAAAGGAGCCTCTGCTTTCTGTGTATACGCTTGCCAAAACAATATATACTAATGACCTCCACTAAACATTTGCATTAAAAACCAAGTTAACCACCATGAGAACAAATCTAGATAATAACAAAGACATATCAGCTGGGTAAAATATGGATGCTCAAGGCACATGTTGATACGAACTTTTGGCTGAACTATTTTAAGAGGACTTAAGAGGACAAATCTTCAAGCACTACACGTATCTAACTCTGCACCAGTTTCCATTATAAATAAATAAAAATAGATTGTCAGATGGAGGCATCTAGTACGTAATATCCTGAACCTGGTGACAGAGAAGAAGTGTAATAGTAGGCCTAGTTAACAAACAGTCTACTCTTGGTCAATCGATTCAGTGAGATTAATGAATTACTTTCCCTGCAGAAACAAGAAAAAACAAAGGAACCAACGGGAGCATATCATGGGCATTTTCTAATTAAACTAATAGTTGCTTATAACTAAGGAACGGATCTAACAAATTGTACACTGCTAGTGCTCACACGGTGACAAAAGAAAAACAAAATGGCCATGTTTTCTTCATCAGATGCTGGTCTAGGTTTGGATGTAACTTGCGAGTATCAGGAAACAAAGTGGCCACGTTTTCTTCATTAGATTCAGTCCAAGGAAATTTGAGAACCCCTGAAGACCTATGCTAGAGCAGAGCAGCAATCACTTGGAAGGTAAAGAAAACAGAGAGGAAGGGTCGACCTTATTCTGTGGCGAATCATGGTGGGCGGGGCACATGACCTTCCTTGCTGTCGAGCTAGTCCATCTCGTGGGGCTCCAGCATGGGGTCCGGGTCGTCACCGTGCATGGATCTGGAGAGGCAGAGAGCTCCTGCTGATCTGAATCGAATCAAAAAAATCGATTGGAATGGTAAAGAGAG